TCAAAACCAAACGGATTGTGGCTGCATGGCTTCAAGTGACCCAAACCAAGAGGGCTCTTGTCATTTCCTTCTATGGTGCCACCAGCGCCTCGCAGGACCCCAAAATTCATGCTGAAAACAATAGGATCTTGGAAGACCTGTTTGCCTTCATCTCTCAATTCGGCAAAATCCCAGTAATTGTTGCCGGTGACCTCCAAGCCCCACCGATGTCTTATCCTGCTGTTGCTATGGCCGTGTCTTTTCAGTCTTGGCACGATCCTGTTGCTTGCGTCAATGAAGAAGGTGAGTGTACTCGGCCGCTGACGTTTAGCAATGATGGCACCTTTTCTGGGGTTGGGGACTCATGTACCTCGATCGACGCAGTTTTGCTCAATGATATTGCTTTTGCCGCTCTTTTGAATGCCGAGGTTGTTGAAGTCTTTGGCAAACAACACAGACCCATTCGTTTGTCGTTCGAATGGTCCTCGATCAACCAGACCGGATACCACCTGTTCAAGACTGCCCCCTTTGTTCTTGATTCGGTTCACGAACCTCTTGAACAAACCTCCTTTTCGTGGGACGCTCATGGGAAAGAACCCTACCATGCCGCGCAATCTGCGGAACAAAAGTGGGATGTCATCAACAATTTCCTCCAGGAGGCCATTTTGGCCAAGGGTGCTGTTTGGGGGAAGGGGCCTCCCACTAGAGGGCAAGAGCCGGTTTTTGTTCGGAAGACCATTGCACCAAAACAACTGGCGACTCATTGTGCTGCAAACTGGAAAAGTGCTCAGTTAGCTCACCTTGTTGGAAAGCTCCAAGAACTTTTCATCAGACTTTCGAGACCAGCAGGTTCGGCTCAAGACCAATTCATCACGAAAAGGACTGCCACAAAAGCACATCGGTTGCTTGAAACATGCAAGGCGCCGGTGTTGTGGCCTCATCCGAGTGACCCGTGTCTTGTTGATATTCACCTTGCACTCAAGTGGGCCCTCGCTGCAACTCGTACCTTTGATCTTCAATTGCGAACTGCTAGAATTAAAAGATGGAAGCTGCGTATCAAGCATTCGGCACAGCATGGTTGCACCTATATTTTTCATCACTTGAAGAACAAACAACTCGAGGAACCTCCCAACTTAGTCGTTGATTCTGAGCAGAACATTTTGTTCCATCCTAATTCGGCCCTGTCCTTTCTTAACCAGACCTGGGATGATATCTATAGTGCCAACGCTCTAATTCATCATCCACTCAAGATGTTAGAAACGGTCTGGCCGTACATTCGGGAAGAGCAAATTGCTGCCGATATTCCTCCGGTTACTGGAACAGATCTTTTTCGAGTGATACAGAAACGCAAGCCACATGCCGCGCCTGGTCTGGATGGCTGGCGTACGCTTGAACTGCAGACTTTCTCTCCGGCCGAACTGCAGCCGTGTGCCGACTTTTTCACGTTGATTGAGGACTCCTCCCTCCCTCTGCCGACGTCTCTCGTCACTGCAAAGCAAGTTATTTTGAACAAAGCCGGCCCATCAACCCCCCTCAACAAGAGACTGATTACGATTTTGCCGGCCCTTCTGCTCGCCTATACGGGAGCTAGGTTTGCCCAGCTCCAAGAGTGGCAACGGATTGTAATGCCTGTTTCTATCCTTGGGGGCATTAAGGGTAGATTTATGTCTGACCTTTATAACCAGATTCGCCTCGACATTGATGATGCTCATCTTCAGGGGTCAACACTCATAGGCGTCAAATTGGACAAAGCCAAAGCCTTTGACCGGATTATTCCCAGTTTCGCTGCGGCCTTGTTTCTGGCCTTTGGTGTTCCCCGAGGCATCGTCAGTTTCTTTGTCAAAATCTATGATGGCTTGCGGCGACATCTTTCCTACCGCAACTGGATGTCACCCGCAGCCACGACTGCTTGCAACGGTGTTTGCCAGGGATGCTCTTTGTCGCTTTTAGCAATGAACGCCTACACCAAAGTCTGGTGCCACTTGCTTGAGCATTTGCCCGAAATTCACATTAGAGCATATATCGACGATTCGTACCTGTGGTGTAAACTCCAAAACGCGGCTATTCTCGAGAAGGCCATCCAGGTCACAAAAATCTTGGATTTTTTGAGTGGGCAGAAACTCAATGAGAGTAAGTCCTCCCTCTGGGGCACCTCATGCAATGCCAGAAAGGACCTCAAGACTAGATTTCCTGGGTACCCCGTGGTTCTGGAGTTGGATGTGCTGGGGACCAAGGTGTATACGTCGGATAGACAAAACTTTGGGTTCTCCGATACAAGGCTTCGAAAGATCCTCACTGATATTGAAAATGTCGCTGCCCTCCCTGTCAGCAAAACAATTAGAAGTTTTCTCATTGGGGCTAAGATCATTCCACAAATGTCGTTCGGCATTCACATCTCCAAGGTGCCACAACAAGCGATTAAGGCCATTCAGAACGCAATTGCTAAAGCCTTGTGGGTAGGTCAACCCCTTTGGCGCTCCAAACAGCTTTTGCAATGTGTGCTGTCCGCACCCCATCGCACTGATCCAAAATATGCTTGTGCTTATTTGACCATTGTTGAGATTATTCGGTTGTGCTTCAAGAGTTCGGGGGCCTCTGCCAAGCTTCTCAACACATGGCAAAATCAGCGAGGCAACCATGCACTTGCTAAAGGGCTGAAAGAAGCTTTCGATACCCTGGGAATTGCTTATGATGATAACCTCAACATTTCATTGTTTAATTGCCCAAAGGTTTCTCTGTTTTCTTTTTCACCCAAGTGCATCTCCACTGCACTCAAGCATATTACAAGGCAGGCCTGCTATGCAGCCACCACCAGCAAAGCTCGGAAAGACTTTCATTCGCCGGACGGGATTTTCGATTACCAACAAACGACCAAACTCCTGCGAAGGCTCGATCCCAAGACTTGTGACCCCACATTGCGAGCACAACGACTCGAATGTATCCTTGTTGGGTGTACCCTAACCAATGACCGACTCGCCAGCTCAGGTTGGGTCAACTCCTCGACATGTCGCTTTTGTGGCGATGCCAAGGAGAGCATGCCGCATCTCGTCACCTGCCCGGAGCTCATGCAGCTTGTCGGATTGCCGACGATCCACGAATTTGGTAACAACTTTGCTATGCTTGGTCATGTCCAACATCCATGGTTTGTTGGCAAGCAGCGATTGCAGATCTCTCGACCAGATACTCTTGAGGTGGCAGATTCTTTTTCGGCCGCCCATATCGAGAAGCGCTGGACAGACGGATCTGTTGTTCATACAGACAAATTCTGGATCACGAATGCAGCTTTCGCTGTGGTCGATGAACTCGGGGAGATTAGACGTTCGGGGCCAGTGCATCATTGGTGCATGTCGGCTTACACTGCGGAGCTGTGGGCCGTCCTGGCCGCCTGCGCAGGAGCCCAGTTTGTTACCATCATTTTCAGCGACTGCCTTTCGGTAGTGCGTCAAGCACGACACATTTTTCAGGGTGGTCAGCCCAACACAGATTGGACATGCTTTTTCTGGTGGATGTATCTTGCCAGGCTCGTTGAGCTTAGGCGCAATGTGTGCCAGGCTCCCTTCCACATTTGTTGGATCCCGGCACATTGCTTTGATGAGATCCCGATTGAACTCATTTCTGCAGACATGGCAGCGTCACGTGGCACGACGATTGAACACATTCAGCTGAACCGCATTGCTGACCTTGAAGCTAGAAGACTTGCTAACGAGACCGCTGTTGTTTTCACGGAAACTCAGAAGCTTGTTGAATCTGCAGTTGCCGCTCATCAGCAGTGGTTGGTAGATGTCCATACGTTGCTCCCTACCGACCAACCTGATCGCAATGTATACAAGGATGAGCAAACTGTCGATGCGATTCCTTCCAAAGAAGCCTGTCAGCAACAGTTTCCGGCTTGGCCATGGGGGGAATCTCCACAGTTGTACCCTTGGAAACCGAAGATTCCAGTAGATCTTGACTGCCCAAAAAAGTGGTCAGCTTCACATGCAGATTGGCTGACGTGCTGCAAGTATTTTCAATCCTTGAGATGGCGCATCGGGGATGACCTGTCAGTTTCTTTCAACGAGTTTGCCGTTCACTTTCATGTCACCGGCTTTCGTTTGGAGAAAGACCTTGACATCACGACATTCTTGGACATTTACAGATTGTTACGGGAAGCTCTCAAATTGCTTTCCACAGGTGACACTGCAGACCCTTTTCCGGGCACTTTCAATTCGGTTAAACCGCGTTGCTGTGGACGAGTTTTACCACAGGGCTGCATTTGCGGAGCAGCTCCACATTTTGATGATGCCACGAGAATCGGTCTTGCACGCCTTTTTGCTCATGGTGCTGGCAGAAAGTTGGAACAGTGGCGTATCCCGATCGCCACGCTTTGATTGGTGTTGCATGCCTTGGGGCTTTTCTTTTTGTGCATAGATCGGTGTGTCTAGCACAAGGCGGACACCGTCTCACGGTGACTTGTCCGCTGCGCGAGATGGTTAATAGTAGTAATGCCAGGAGCCCCTAGTAGCGTCCTTGCTCCTAGTAGA